AGCTGTTTCCATGGAGGATGAGATTAGTTATCATCAGTGTACAGCAGCAGACGGATTTTTGTTTTGAAATGATAAAACCAAAACTCCCTTTTTAAAATAAAAACTAGAAAACAAACTATTTTGTTCCCATATTAATAAACTGTAGTCGTTTCAGCTTTGACCTTTATGTAAACCAATCTCCAATCAGATCTTTGCACAACTGCGTAAATAAGAATTAAATAAATGCTGTAATCTTAAACTTGTCTTTTCATCTTGTTCTTCTGAATTTGTTGTTTGTATTTACAGTAAAGTCTATTTATGTGATAAAGTAATGTTTGAGAATTTATTCAGGTTTGAAGCCTGGAATCAGTTTAATGGAGTAAAACTAAAGTAAACTTATTTATAGGTTGCTAAAAGTAACCTGTATTTGTTTTAATTAAGTTCAGGATCACGTGCGAGTGAGTTGCGTTTACCAAGAAAATTAAGTTAATCTAACAAAGTAATATCAGTATTATTAACTTGATTATGTTGGGTTCATGTTAACTAATGTTACAGTGTTTATTCTACTTAATAAAGTCCAATGCAACCAATTACCTTTTACACTTTTTAGATTAAGGCATTATTTTTTAAAGTGTATGACCGTATTTGGGACCAGTATCTGACTTCAGATTTGGGCCTCAGTAAATTCTGCTGTGTGAGACATCGAGGTCGAGTGTTTCTATCACAGAAAACCATGTAAGAAGTTTTATTGTCACACACTAAAAAAACTCTTTATCATGTTTTTTTAATGTAAAATCTTCTACAAAGTAACTCCAGCTGTTGGATAAATGAGTGAAAACTGTAGTGAAGTAGTTGTAAATGTCACTTTCCTCCACTGGAGCAGAACAATAAATAATTCAGTGGGTTTTCTCTGTAATCCTGCGTCTTTTTCACAGAATAAATAAAAATGTTTTCGCTCTCTCTCCTCCTCCCCCACCTCCCCCTCCATTGTCCCTCCACCAGGGGAACTCACAACAATACAGCACTTCCTCCTGCGAGGTGGCGTGCTCGCCGGCGGCCGTGGAATCGGCGCGGAGCACATGTGATGAGCTATTGTACGGTGCTGTGCTGCGGCCTTCCTGCGTTAGCCTGCTTCCTAACTGGAGTCATTGTGTGACCCCGATCTCTGTCTGTGGGGAGGAAACGCCACAAACGCACACTGAGCTCACAGTTTGTGTGCACTATCACCCTTATTCACTCTACATTGTATAATGTATATATAATGTCTCACTCTGTTTATCCTTCTGTTCATGCTGGAAATATCTTACTGTCTGTGTAAGGTTGTTCATTATCAGGAATGAATGGACGACGGTTGCCTCCACGAAGTCCATTAACTCCTGATAACGGACTCCTTGAATGGCATTATCCCGCTTATACCACGGCCACTTGTCAAAGAACACAGACAAGATCATTATTTTATATTTCCATGCATTTTTCAGTCAAACTCTAAAGTTTTTTTATAAGCACAGCTCAGTGGTAACAGCTGAGGTCCTTCCTAATACCAGAGAGCTAACATTACGTTACGAGACAGAGAACAGGCTTTACCCTCTGGTTTGCCTCAAAGCTTTGCAAGAACTGATGGAAGACCGACGAGTCCTGATCTCAACCGTAGTGAACATTTACGGGAACTCTTAAAGACTGAGAAAGATAAATATTCTGGTGCAACACAGGAAGCTCTCAGGAACATTATCAGCTCATGCGTGGGTCATGCAGCTTGTGTGCATGTTGGGGGAGCAAATACTAAAATATTCTGATAATTCACAAACATTCAAGACTAAACTTTTCATTTAAATTGTTAAGCTGATATATTGTAATAAAATAAAACATGATTACACTCGAAACAAATGCAAAATAGATCAAATAGAATCTGTGGTCTCAGACTTTTGGACTCATTCACATTAAATAAACCCAACTCAAAAATGTGAAGTTAATAAGTTAATGAGTCAGTTAAACTTAAACAGTTTGAGTTGAACTGACTCATCAGTTTTAACAGTGTATATTTAGATATGTGTTCGTATATCTGTGAATCTTTTTAGAATTTTCCTTTTTATTTCTACCTTAAGTGCTTCTTTTATATCCTTTGTTATATTGTATTGCCTATTTTATTGTTTTCTGTGTGTAACATGGAGGAGGCTGCGACTGCATTTCACTGAGCAGTCCTGTTATTTAACCTTTAAAGCTTTTACTAATAAATATAAAGAGGAGAGAGATATTAAAAGGCTATAATTCTCTATTTGTCTGTCTATAAACAGTTATCAGGAGCACATTTAAGCATTAAAACAGGTTTTGCTTGCTGTAATCATCCCTCCTGTTCATCCCTTACAGTTATATTACATCCAATATAATGAATGTCATTATGAGCTCGGTTCCTGTTAAAGTACTTTATAGGAGCTGGACTCTCTAATGATGATACTGTGAGGACATTTCTTGGCGTTCACTGTCAGCTAACGCAGATTAAACCACTAAACTCCAGTTTATTATGTCGGTCTGTGACCTCGAGGCCAAACGGCTCACGTTAATCCCAGTTTATTACATTAAAGCTGCTCGATGCCATGACTGAGCCGCGAGTGCCGAAAGAGACCGAGCTGCAGCACCGTGTGGGCTTTATTAAAGAGACTGTGAAATAACAGTGAATAAAATCATTGAAATACAGTTTCTACCTTTAATTTTGCTTCTTTTTTGTCTTTTTACTGTTTAATTAAAGATATTTACACTGTAAAACCAATGCAATGATCTATAAATACAGGCGAACTCTGCTATAATACAAATATCAGGCTTACATTTACAGCAGAGTGCTGTTATTATTTGATATTTCTTATTTTAATGTGAATTTTAAAAGTTATAGAACTGTAATAAAAGTCATTATCTGTGAAATTAGAGTAATTATTGCTGTTTTCACTGATAAAAACTGTATTTGGACAGTTTACCAATGCTTATACACTGATAAACAACAATTATTCAAGATTTTTGTTCCATAATTATACAAGATATCCATCAGTTAACAAACAAATCCATGTAAAATTACATAACAAATACTTTTTTTAATGTTGTCACTAATATTTTAGAAACATTTTAACAATATTAAACCTGAATTTCTATTAAATAAACTCTAAATTATAGATTTCCAAATGTATTTTAATCTTTTTATGTGGGAAAAAAAGTAATTTTTCTTTAAATAAGCAGTAATTTTATGATTATTTACAATCACAGTGTAAAGGATAAAATAATTACATTATTTTTCATGTTATTTTGCATTATGCATTTAAATTGACAGGATATTTTTGTAATTGCATTAATATTTCCATAAAAATCTTTAAAATAAACATGAAATCTGTGAACTTTTAAACAGATTTCAGCACCGTGTGCATTACAGACACATAAAAAGCGATCACAGTGTTAGTTTGTTGGTGTGCAGAGGTCACTGTGGACCTAAAGCCTCCCCCCTGAGATCAGAAGAAATCCGTTTTGGTTATGTTGGGGGGGGAGGTCGCTCATTGTCTAAAGCACCCGAGCAGCTCGCACAGGAAACAGAGTCAGTTATGGCGGCCTGCTCCCGCCTCCAGTCCCACGCTCTCGTCATTGTTCGCCTCCTCCTGCAGGTAGCCGTCAGGACAAAGCTGGTGTCTGTTTGAATCACTTACTGTCACTGATCGCTCGGGAGTATCCACTCTGTGATTGATTAGGAAGTGTTTGACAAACAGGAAGCAGGGACATGATTGGCAGGTCTGACTGTGTGGCTACATAAACACAAACAAATGTTTTGGTTTAGTAAAAATGTTTAATCTTTTTGAATTATAACATTTTCTAATGTTCAATGAATGTTACTACAATGAGTTCAGGGAAGCTTTTTCTTTACAATTAAAGGGATTTTTAATTACAACTTACTTAAAAACAAGGTGTTTGGTTGATTTATGGCTACGCTGTAAAATAAGATTAATTAATTAATTTAACCTTAAATAAATGTTGAAAGTGAAAATTAAAACATACCAATAGGTAAATATTCTTGATTTAAATGACGCTGAGTTAATTTTGTCATATTTATTGTTGTTTGTATTCATAAATATCCAGTAAAAAGTACTTTAAAACAAGTTTCTGTAACTTAAAAAACAAAACTAGTGTCACTAATAAAAAGCTGCTTCATTAACTTTTTTTAACGTTTGTGTAACCTCAAATGTTTAATGTAATCAGTTTAAACAATTTTTTTAGTAAAAATAAGTTATTGCATTAGTGTACTTTTTTTTTTAACTGTCTCAACTAGTTTTTCAACATTATTTACGTCAACACAACTTATTAAAATAATGTTTGCAACTTAAAAGGTTTATTTAAATTTTAAAACAATTAATTGTAATGTTCATCTTGCAGTGATTTAATTAAATGGTGACTGAATTATTTTTTACAGTATTAGCTCACGGTAAAGATGAGTTTACTCTTTCAGTTTTCTTTTTCATTAAGAGAATATAAATTAAATTAGAGACTCTGTTGTCACTGACAGCTGCAGAGTCAAATTCTTCTACTTACATATATTTTTCCCACTCAAAGGTTTATTAGTGGGTGGCATTCCACACAGAGCCACACAATACTGCATTGTTGTTGGATATTTTCTTCAAAACAGTGAGTTCCTATACCAGGATGTCTAAATTCAGATATGTGAGGGCACGATGCCGTCTGTGTGTGTGTGTGTGTGTGTGTGTGTGTGTGTGTGATAAATAAATAAACTTTCATTTTGACCCCAGCAGGGAATAACAGTGAATATCTGTCCGCTCTGTCCTCAAACCATCAGAACAATCTGATGATAACCTCAGATAAAAAATACAAAACAAAAACACAACTCAGTTAAGAATAAGAAAATGTTAATCTGCATCAATCAGTAAATTATTGTCACATCTGAAAGCTAATGTCAGTAAAATGCTAGCTAATCTAAAATGCTGGATGTCCCAATTATAAAATGTCTGTTAATAAATAAAATATCACAGAAAAAAACATTTGTTATATACATTAATTTATTTACATTGCCTTCATTCATTCAATTCATAAATCAACAGTTATTTTATCTGTAAACATGTTTTAACCTTTGTAAACACTGTTTGTGTGCAAGAGGAGGTTTTAATTAAAGTAAAACTAATTCACACTTCCAACATCCCTCGCTCCGAGAGAGAGAGAGAGAGAGAGAGAGAGAGAGAGAGAGAGAGAGAGAGAGAGAGAGAGAGAGAGAGAAAGAGAGAGAGAGAAGAGAGAGAGAGAGAGAGAGAGAGAGAGAGAGAGAGAGAGAAAGAGAGAGAGAGAGAGAGCGAGAGAGAGAGAGAGAGAGAGAGAGAGAGAGAGAGCGAGAGAGAGAAAGAGAGAGAGAGAGAGGGAGAGAAAGTGCATAAACTCAGTACAGTTAGAGTCCCGAATATAAACCCGACCCAAACCAACGCAGACCACGAGCACTACAACAACATAAGTCATCAAACAGGAGCCTTTTTGCTCTGAGCTCTTTGTGCAACTGCTGGAAGCTAATGTCAGTAAAATGCTACATAACTACCTCGATAATCTACATCAATTGCTACACAGCAAAACACTAACTAACTACTAACTAGCAGATACAGTAAATAAAAACATTTAGACTTGCCTCATCGTTTGCTTTAGAGTAAATAGGCTGCAATATAGCATTAAATAATTACTGTGTGCAGTTTAAAGAATATTACAGATCCAAGAAGACATTAGCAGTTAGCTAACGGGAGCTACATTAGCAGTTAGCGGAGTTGAGGTAAGTGAGTAAATCAGATTTTGGTATAAAAATACAAAGAAAGTTGAGTTTTTGTAATTTTTTTGGTCCACATTGTTCAGTTGGGGTACAATACAACTGAGATCTAATGTTGTTTGCAGTTTCAGTCATAAGCTGCATCTGATTGTCTTTATTTCACCAGGTGAGCCTCTTTTAGTCTGTTCTGATCTAAGGTCAGTTTGTTATTGTGTGTTTTCTGTAAACTCATTGGTCTCTCGTCCGGTTCGGTTCAGGCAGAGGTCAACAGTGATTGGCTGTTTTTCAAATATCAGAAAGTTCAGTTCGACCGGTTTCACTATAAGCAGCATCTTCCCCCCAGGTGTTTACGGGACTGCCCACAGAGATACTACACAGTCCCTCCAGAAAAACGTGATTATGCGATCCCATAATTCAATGCATAATCAGCCAAAGTCCGCATATTTGTGCGGGGGCCGCATCTTTTCAAATACGCCGCACTTTCGCCGCATAAATTGCTGATTTCGGCACAAAATATGCGGGGCTTACATGATTTCATAATCCCCGCATTTTTGTTGCAAAGACGTCACAAATATCTGAGCAGTAAGTTGAAAAATGTTGCGTTTACTTCACACAAGAGCAGCCATTTACCCCCGTTGCCATGGGAACGTTATGAAGTGACGTAATTACGCAACGTGAACGTCATCGAAAAGCTGCAAACCCCGCGATGAAGCCGCAATTTTTGCAAGTTCCCGCAATTTCATCGCATAAAATTGCATAAATTGCCGCATATTCCATCGCGTTTCTTAAGAAGATTTGCTGCACAATCAAGGATTTTGGCCCGCAACAATCGCAAAAAAACTCCGCGTTTTTCTGGAGGGACTGACTACACTGACACCGACACACGGGTTGTTGGAGAGAGATCATGGAGGATCTTCACCCCACCTTCAATTTCAGACTTTCACATAAAGACTCAGTACTATCTGTTTTGCAGCCCATGTAGCTGCCCCCTGCTGGCCATTAGAAAGAATGCAGGTTTAAGACACTTCCACATGACCAATAAAAGTACTGAATTGGTTTGGCTCCTGGCATCCCGGGACTGAGTCAGTTAGGTTCGCTACACGGCTAAACAACCGAACAGCAGTTGGCTACTAATCAATCTTTCCATCAGGAAACTGACCTCCGTACTGTAACGTTGTTCCCTGTCGGTCTTGGTGTTCAATCCTGGTGCTGTCCACCGCTAATGGCAGATATAGATAGTAGCAGTTAATTAGTGGTTCGCTACTTTAGCTAGTAGCAGTAAGAATTGAAGCAGAGCAGCCGGAGGATGTCAGAGGGAAAATGTTTTCTCCATAAAATCTGATCCAGTTTCACCAAAATCACTGAATACAGTTATAAAGTTTGTGCAGTAATCGATGAGGCCATAGATAGATGTAATACATCGACCCTCAGAAACAGTAAGTTATTAAGACCATTAAAAATGCTGTTACCTGTTGGAAGTCTATTGCGAAGCACATGTAAAAACTTGATTAAAAACCTGCTTACCTGAACACAAGAAACCGGCTTGTATCTACCTGGGGAGATCAGGTTTATCGCATCCCCTACCACGATTACAAAAACCAGGTGTTTTGGTGTTTCTTACAGGTAATTTGGTGCAGGGAACTTTTAGTTTAATTCAAACTGCTAATATGGATCATTTGTAATGTTTTGTCTCAACTACAGAAACACTAGTTAACTGCTAAAGTCTGACAAGGTTGTCTGACATTGACTACTGTCAGTTATTAGTTTTACTACGTCACATGACTTTGACGGTGGGCGTGAGAGTGATATAGGGTTGGTCAAATGGCACCGATGCAGCAACCATTAAATACTACAGGTTGCAAACACATTTGATGTTTAAAGTCAGAATGATGAGTTTCACCCATCGACATATGAAAGATGGATGCTGCGTCTCCACTTCTTACCTCTGTACAAAAATGAAGCTATTGTATTGGTATTCTATGGAATTGAATTGATAAAGACCTCGAAAGAGTCTGTGCAGTCGTGATCGGGGCTGGTGCCGCTGTATTGATGTCCCGCCAATACGCCGAATCATCTTTATATATGTTGATGGTTTTGCCTGCTTCATTACTGCTTCACGGCTGTTTTTAGTTTATCTAACATGATCTGCAATCCGTCTTTGGTTTTTTGATCCACTAGACTTTTCATCTTCTTCAGTCTGTTGACCTTCTCGTCATCTTTTTTCTCCTCCATCTTCTCAATCAGGAAGTCCAAGTAGACGTAAGTGGACATTGAATTAACCTTGAGGGAGATCTGATCCAGTCTGACAACAAGCTGAAATGACTCTTCCAACAACTGATCTTTTTCTTTCTGAAGTTCTTTCAACTGGCTCTCACTTTCCCCGTCTCGTGAAGTCTGCCGAGCTTCCTCTTTCATATGATCGGATACAGCACACCCACACTGAGTGCAGCATCCATCTTTCATGACCTCACATTTTCCTAGATCTGAAGACACTTTGCACGGATAGTGACAGGTCTTCTTACAGTTTTTACAGTAGGTGGCACGCCAACCTCTTTTTTTATTGTTGTCGTTCAGCAGGATCTTCCCCTGTTCATGTTCAATCTCTTCAATCCTCTTCTGCAGGTCTTGGATGAGGCCCGTCAGTCGACTTTGCTCTTCCCTAATAACTGTCTCCCGCTTTAGAGGTGCAGTTATTTCCAGGAAGGCTTTAAACTCCCGCATTTCTTTCTTTATTTTAACTGCAAATTTAAGAGGAACCGTGTTCTCTGTCCTGTCTTCACTCTGACAGTTATTCAACAAGAAGTGAACAGGCTGATTCGTAATGTTCTTAATGTTCGCCTCCTTGAGTGCTTTCAGAGCATTTTCGGGTGTTCTTCCATCTGAGTGAGTGATGAAGGCGACTACGTTCTTTTCCACATCTTTTCCAAACAGAGACGTCACTGAATCAAAGACGTACATCAGTCGGTCACTCAGTCGATTCTCAGTCGCTTTCAGCACCAGACCCACAGCATTGATCTCTTGGACTCCGTCATCTGCGTTGAACAAGTCAAATAATCTTTGTCTGACGATGTCGTCTCGCTCGGTCCCCGTGGTGCTCCAGTACCCAGGAGTGTCGATGACAGTCAGAGAGTAGGGCAGAGTTTCACCTTCAAAACCAAAGATCTGGTACACGATCACATCTGATTCCTGACTTCTCTGCTCGTCCTCTACGATCTCGAACCAGACATCGTCCTTCCAGTCCACTCCCAGGGTGTAGTTGACCAGAGCGTTGATCAGAGTAGATTTTCCTTCTTCCGTTTCACCCACTAGCAAGATGGTTTTATTTTTCTTGTTCACATTTCTTTCACCAAGGGTCGTTCTTCTCACAGTTCCAATATATTCTTTCTTTGTTGGTAACTGGTAGCGTCTGGGAGATCCGGACTGGATCAGATTACTTTTAGAGATGATGTCATATTGTTTTAATGTGTATTTATTCCTGTAGAAGAAGCAGATCATGTACATGTTTAATTTCATGTATATACTTTATTAGCCTTCCTTCCTTGTACATTTCAAACTTACTTAATGATCTAGCCCCACTGAAAGGATTAAAGCCATATTAAAACTCTGTGTAACTGTGAAATGCAGCTGCCTTATTTGAGCTGGATTTAGTACCTACTTCGTCTGTAATGTTTGATTCCCTGTTGAATGTGTTTTTATTTGTATTTAAATTGTAACTGGTGTGCCGTCTTGGCTAGGTTTCCCTCTGAGAAGAGAAAGAAGGCAATGAAAGCATTAAAGGCAGCACTTTCACTTTAAGTTTCCCCATTCAGCATTCTTTAAAATAAATAGCTATAACCAGGGACGGCTGATATATATGGGCTAACAAGGCTAAGCCCCCACTATCTTTTACTATAAAGAAAAAGAAAAGAAAAACTATTATTAAAAACCTTAGAACATATTGTTTTGAATTTTGGTAGAACCTAGAGCAGCAACAGCACCAAAAAGTGACAGAAACAACCCAGGATATATGATCTATGTTGGTTCTTTCCTGTGAATGGGCTAAATTCATTCAGTCCAAGCACAGTAGCGTAAGCTTCCATTGACTTTTGATTGACAGGTGTCCTGACACACCCCCTTCATATGCTGCCCATTTGGACTAATTTCATTCAGCCCAAATGCTGACCTTCGACCAATCACAGCGCAGTAGCTACAGTACAGTGAGGCTAGTTCGTAGTATTGCGGGCGTTAGCATGAACATGAACGAGACGGATTATTTACTTTCTAATCAATTTCTATAAAGTCTTTGGAGGAAAAATTGGAAGTACAGAGATTGGGAACACATCATCCAAATGATGTTCAAATAACACAAAAGGACAAACGGCAAAATCTTAGTTTTGTGTTACTGGTTTCAGCTAACCGACTGGCTAACAGCAAGTGTAGCTAGGAATTCACTTTTCTGTTTCCATGTTTGCCTTTTGGAGGAGACACGGCTTGGACCCAACAATGAATTGTAGATTTAAAACATTTATCCGACAAAACGTGAATGCAGCAAGAGCCACATTGGAAACAGCATTAAGTTGTCTCTGCTGGGTAAAGTGAACATCACCTGTCAGCTTAATGAGGGTCACTGCATCCTGTACAGAGACACAACGAGCTGGTAAATAAAACCAGGCATTCACTGTCATGGACTGTGGACTGTATTACATTTTGTGGGGGACACAAGCTCGCCCTGCGGGGTTCCGATTAATCTCCCACTTCACTCCAGCGGCGACCAGTTCTCTTTTTTAGACAGTCAAGCAGCCGATCACCTGTCAAACACACAGGTTGCAAAGTACACGTCTAAGACCACAGATTGTCTCAAAACGAGACAGGACCTGGAGAATGTTTCCTGCTTCATATCTGAACTGCTGACCACAGATAACAATCAGCCACATCCAGATGCGGACACAGCTGCAGCTGCTCTGATAATGTGTCAGTAGCCGGACAGCGCTTTGAGAAAGCCAGGCACTTGTTGTCTTCGCATGTGCACATTACCTATTGATCTGCAGGGGGAAACTGAAAGGTGAGCTGATGGTGAGGTACAGCAGTGTGGACTTTGACATGGTGATTAACCTGTTTGCGTCACAGAAAGGCCGTCGATGTGAGCGGCGTTTTAAATAAGGTATGCCCAAGCTCTGAAACAACTCTCTCTTGTACAAATAATTCTTTTTGCTTTGGTTTTATGGATTTATTTCTGGTACATGGTGCAAATTGTTGCTGGTACTTTTCTATATTGTAGGTGTAGCGCAATTGGCATGTGCTGATGTGTACAGAGGAGAGAGAGAGAGAGAGAGGGGGATTTTTTTAGCATCAGGCCATTCTTTTGGGTTTGTCTCCCGAGTGTTGCCGTAGAGCCCTTGAGTACAAGTACAATGTTGTGCTGTAACTTGATGTGATGCTGCTATTGCTGCTGTGTGGAGTATTGATGAGTGTAATGCATTTGTTAGCCCACCCACCAGAAATCTCCACCAGCCGTCACTGCCTATAACGGTTTATAACACACTATAATGTAGTTGTTAGTGGTTATGTAATCAGTGGGCCCTGATCATTTAACTAAATGTTTTATATTAAGCAGTGCCTGAAATGGGCCGTCTGATTTTGGTCCACATGAGTACCCTTACTTCTTATTGAGTACTGCCACCACTGGCGAGCGTGGCTGTACCCACCACTGAGGTCCCGATGTTTTCCGAGGGGTATACAATAAAAGTTGTGAAATAATTGCCTAAAAATACCTACCTTGGTGCTTTTTTGATGCCCCAAAATTCTCCTAGCAAATTCAGCTTTCGAACCTTTGTGTTTCTAAAACCCTGCATACAGTTGTGTTGTGTTTTGGGTTATGCTGAATTTGGGTCCTGGCACCTTTTTTCTGTCCAATTCAGGCACCGTTATTAAGGTTGTTGTGTGCAGTGTGTACTGGGCTATATTACACTGAGTGCTCACAATGATCTCGTTCACTTACTTCATTTGAGAACCAGCTGCTGTTAGTTGGTAGTTTGCTCTGGTTCCTGTATGCACTCGTCTTTTCATCTCTTCCAGTTTCTGGACCTTCTCTGTGTCTCTTTTCTCATTCATCTTCTCAATCAGGAAGTCCAAGTGGACAAGAGTGGACAGTGAATCAACATTCAGGGCGATCTGCTCCAGTTTGACAACATGCTGGAAGGACTCTTCCAACAACTCATCTTTATCTTCCTGAAGTTCTTCCATTTCTTTCTGTAGTTCACCCAGATTGCTTGTCATAATCTCACAGTCTTTATTACTCTTTATATACTTTTGTCTCATGTCTTCATCGATCATTTCAACTTTCCTTGTCTTCTCCACATAGGTGCGGTCATACATATGTTTTGATACCGGACACTGCTTCGGACATACGGTGCAGCAAACATCTGTACTGACCGTAGAGCGTTGTGGACTTTGGGTCATTTTGTATCTGGGACTCTGACAGGTCATCTCACAGACGGGACAAGAGACGGCTTCTTTATATAACAACCCACAGCCCCACCAACTCCTTTCACCATCGATAGGTTCTGCAGCTTTGTAAACCTGATCAACTTCTTCAGCAAAATTCTTATTGCTCCTCATGTCTTGTTGATGTTTCTGCAGCATTTCCTCAGTGTGTTGGATTTCCTTCTGTTTTACTTCAATTGAATCAATTCTTTCTTGAAGTTTTTGGATGCAGGTCGTCAGTTTGAGTCGCTCGTTAATAACGACCACGGTTGTCTCCAGCGTTTTAAGTTCAGTTTTGGCCCGAAAGGCTGCGAACTGCCTCATGTTTTCTGTCGTTATTCTGTATGCATGTTTAAGGATGTTTGTGTCCTCTGTCCTATCTTCACTCTGACAGTTATCGAACAGGAAGTGAACAGGCTGATTCGTTTCATCTTTGGCGCACTTCATGTTCGCATCCTTGAGGGCTTTCAGAACATTTTTAGGTTTTCTTCCGTCTGAGTGAGTGATGAGGGCAACAATGTTCTTCCCCATATCTTTTCCAAACAGAGATGTCACTGAATCAATCAGTCGGTCACTGAGTCGATTCTCAGTCGCTTTCAGCACCAGACCCACAGCACTGATCTCATGGACTCCGTCATCTGAGTTGAACAAGTCAAATAATCTTTGTCTGACGATGTCGTCTCGCTCGGTCTCCATGGTGCTCCAGTACCCAGGAGTGTCGATGACGGTCAGAGAGTAGGGCAGAGTTTCACCTTCAAAACCAAAGATCTGGTACACAATCACATCTGATGTCTGACTCCGCTCGTCCTCTATGACCTCGAACCAGAGATCGTCCTCCCACTTCACTCCCATGGCGTAGTTGACCAGAGCGTTGATCAGATTAGATTTTCCTGCTCCTGTTTCACCCACAAGCAAGATGGTTTTGTCTTTCTTGTCCACATTTCTTTCACCAAGTGTCGTTCTTCTCACAGTTCCAATCAACTCTTTCTTTGTTGGTAACTGGTAGCGTCGGGGAGATCCGGACTGGATCAGATTACTTTCCGAGATGATGTTGTCATATTTACTCCTGTAGAAGAAGCAGATCATGTACAACATGTTATTTTCTATTCATGTTTAAAGCTATAATATGTAACATTTCCTCATTAAATAGTGTATAAACTCTTTTACTATGTTCTCTATGTTACCATCCACTGTTTAGATCTTGGTGCTTTTTAACTCTAGATTTGAACCGGATGAAGGATTTTAGTCATCGGACGTTTGGATCTTCACGTGTTTAAAAGCTGCATAAAATTAAATATAATTAAACTAAATAAAAAATAGTGGTGTTGTAATGGCCATCTTCTAATCCTGAGAAGGGATTACAACCACTCTGAAGGTTTCACTTTGTATGAGATGCCGTAATCATTTATAATTTATGATTAATAATGTCTCTCACTGCTGTGTTTCATTGTTATTCAGTTCATAGACAGGCAGCCTTTGTGCTGAGTCAGCAGGGTTGGGTAGGAATCACTGGCAATATATACTGTGTAGGGGACAGAGCTTCCAGGTCTGTGAAGTAAAGCCAGTGCGGAGGTGTCTTAAAGGTCCAGAGTGTAACATTTAGGAGGATCTATTGGCAGAAATGTAATATAATACACAGGTATGTTTTCATTAGTGTATAATCACCTGAAAATAAGAATCATTGTGTCTTTGTCCCCTCAGAATGAGACGTTTTTATCTACAGAGGGAGCGGGTCGTCTTCTGGCGGAGTCCGCCATGTCGAATGTTTCCAGGCTAGATTCCACTAAATCTTACGCACTGGTCCTTTATTTCAACTCTTGTGACATTATGTGGTAAAATGTGATTCAGCAGTATTTAACGCCGTAGCTCATTTCAACAATATAACCGTAAACCCTGAAACACTTTGTGTTGTCGAGGGCGGCGCCTTGACACTGGGACCAGTATCAGGGGATTGTTGCAACATGGACCTTTTCTATACTTATTTTCTATTTTCTATATATATTGTTGATATATAATGTAGTATATTGTACATCATTTTACAGAAATGAAACATAGAAACATTAGGATTACTCACGTCGCCATGGTAACAGCTTCACAGGAAGTTGAGGATGAATCTCTGGATTCTGGATGAAGGACAAACAAAAAGTCAGCTTTGATGTTGTTAGCAGTTATTATTAGATTAAATAGCGTAGATACCGTATGAGCAAGTACACTATTTTATGTGTCTGTCCAACTACTGAGTGGGCGGGGCTTAAACTAGAAGTTGGAATAATTATTAGAAAACTTATTTGAACTTATTTTCTCTATTTTCTCTTATATATTGTTGTTATAAACCGTAGTATAATGTACATATTTTTACATACTTAGAGTTATTTTCTATTGTCTATTATATATATATATTTCATGCAATTTGTTTTGCAACTTGAGCAACTGTAACGCAACCAATTTCCCTTCCAGATTTCCAGAAGTTTATGATTCTGAAGTTAAATTAAATAAATAATAAATAAATTAAATATGAGGATGCTACTAAGTTCTGATATGATAATAATAATAATCGGTATCTTTATTTTTTTATCCAATTGCCAATAAAATAAATACATTTTCAGATTTGCTACTGTAGCTCTGATTCAGTCTCAATTTAGGATAACATTGTAAAGTTCTCTTTTATCTTTTAGCCTTTAATTAAAGTACTCTGATCTAAAGTAAAAGTAGTAAACAACAGTGTGAAAGTACTCTATTGCAAGTTAAAATCATACAGTGGGTACGGAAAGTATTCAGACCCCTTTAAAATTTTCACTCTTTGTTTCATTGCAGCCATTTGCTAAAATCCAAAAAGTTCATTTTATTTCTCATTAAGGTACACTCAGCACCCCATCTTGACAGAAGAAAACAGACATGTAGAAATTTTTGCAAATCTATTAAAAAAGAAAAACTGAAATATCACATGGTCATAAGTATTCAGACCCTTTGCTGTGACACTCATATTTAACTCACATGCTGTCCATTTCTTCTGATCCTCCTTGAGATGGTCCTGCTCCTTCATTGGAGTCTAGCTGTGTTTAATTAAACTGATTGGACTTGATTCGGAAAGGCACACACCTGTCTATATAAGACCTTACAGCTCACAGTGCATGTCAGAGCAAATGAGAATCATGAGGTTGAAGGAACTGCCCAAGGAGCTCAGAGACAGAATTGTGGCAAGGCACAGATCTGGCCAAGGTTACAAAGGAATTTCCGCAGCACTCAAGGTTCCTAAGAGCACAGTGGCCTCCATAATCCTTAAATGGAAGAAGTTTGGGGCGACCAGAACTCTTCCTAGACCTGGCCGTCCAGCCAAACTGAGCAATCGTGGGAGAAGAGCCTTGGTGAGAGAGGTAAAGAAGAACCCAAAGATCACTGTGGCTGAGCTCCAGAGATGCAGTAGGGAGATGGGAGAAAGTTCCACAAAGTCAACTATCACTGCAGCCCTCCACCAGTCGTGGCTTTATGGCAGAGTGGCCCGACGGAAGCCTCTCCTCAGTGCAAGACATATGAAAGCCCGCATAGAGTTTGCCAAAAAACACATGAAGGACTCCCAGACTATGAGAAATAAGATTCTCTGGTCTGATGAGACCAAGATTGAACTTTTTGGCGTTAATTCTAAGCGGTATGTGTGGAGAAAACCAGGCACTGCTCATCACCTGCCCAATACAATCCCAACAGTGAAACATGGTGGTGGCAGCATCAGGCTATGGGGATGTTTTTCAGCTGCAGGGACAGGACGACTGGTTGCAATTGAAGGAAAGATGAATGCGGCCAAGTACAGAGATATCCTGGAAGAAAACCTCTTCCAGAGTGCTCAGGACCTCAGACTGGGCCGAAGGTTCACCTTCCAACAAGACAATAACCCTAAGCACACAGCTAAAATAACAAAGGAGTGGCTTTGGAACAACTCTGTGACCATTCTTGACTGGCCCAGCCAGAGCCCTGACCTAAACCCAATTGAGCATCTCTGGAGAGATCTGAAAATGGCTGTCCACCAACGTTCACCATCCAACCTGACAGAACTGGAGAGGATCTGCAAGGAAGAATGGCAGAGGATCCCCAAATCCAGGTGTGAAAAACTTGTTGAATCATTCCCAAGAAGACTCATGGCTGTAGTAGCTCAAAAGGGTGCTTCTACTCAATACTGAGCAAAGGGTCTGAATACTTATGACCATGTGATATTTCAGTTTTTCTTTTTTAATAAATTTGCAAAAATTTCTACATTTCTGTTTTTTTCTGTCAAGATGGGGTGCTGAGTGTACATTAATGAGAAATAAAATGAACTTTTTTGATTTCAGCAAATGGCTGCAATAAAACAAAGAGTGAAAAATTTAAAGGGGTCTGAATACTTTCCGTACCCACTGTATATTCATAATCTTAATAAAAGTACAAAAGTATCAGTCAAAGTGTAGAATAAAATTAATAAAAATAAAATGCTATATATTATATTTATTTATAATTACTGATGCATTAAAGTATTGCAGCTGGAGAGAATATTTTAATTCATAAAAGACATTTCCTGTATTTATTTATTTTAGTTAAGTACACAATATGGTTTCAGGTAGCTTTATTTTTTATTTTGATGGCAGTTCATTAAAAAAATGTTTACGCCTAGTTTTAATATAGTTTTAGTCAACTATAATAACTTTGATATGGTCCTTTAAAGTAGCTGCAGGATACGGTAAAAACTTCCCATTGCAATTATTTTGACACATATTGCGAAATGATTTACGATTAGTGTGTGAATGATAATTTTTGCATCACTGAAAAAAAAGATTAAGTAATTTTTTATGTCTGTATTCAACAAACATGTTTTCTTTTGTCATCTTGAAGGTCTCTGCAGAACTACAACACTTCATTGTAACACTGTTTCTCTCACATTTTAACAAAAAAATTGCAGCTTCTTGCACTTCGGATTTTAATAGTATTTCGATTAATTGTGCGACCCTACTTTAAAGCTTTGAAAATGAAGATGTTTAGTCCAATCCTTCCATGGATGCACTGATTGGGAAATTCTGCACCGATGATGGTGCTGAAGGTTTTTTTTCTTGTTATTTATACATCCTTTTGTACCAGAAATCCACATTGATATGTTTTTCTGCCTTGCTGCAGCTCAGTCTGTTTCTGGTCTCACCCAGGATGTGAGACTCCGAACTGAAAACACAAATGGATTCGACACAACACGCAAGCATCGGCCACTGATGAACAGAAATATTAGCTGATATATTGGTGCATCCCTGTTGGATTCTGAATGAAAACAGTTTAATTTCAGCTCATTTCAACATTATTCCATCATAAGATATCAGTGAATCACAAGAATGCAAAGTGCACGTTCATTTATTAGTTATTTCAAATACATTTTTCATGCATATATATATCTCCTTCTATCTGCTGATCTTAATAAAGTTTCATTAATAGTTGTTCTTACCTGTTTTTGTCTTCATGAAGCGCCTAATTCTGAGGTGGCAGAGCACAGAGCAGCTTTTATACCAGAGGGTGGATGCTCAGTGGTCATATGATTTCCTAGAAACAGTCTGAGAGAGCTGAGTCACTGCAGTGGATGTTTGCTGTGGTCCTTTTTGTTAAAACATCTTTCACTTTCACCTGCTGTTGAAAAAAGAGTGCTGTTGGGGAGATTTCAGAGAAACGATGTGACTTCAAACCATCGAGCTCTCTAAGTTCCATAAGTTTCCAGTAAGATCTGATTAGACTGAAACTGTTTACTGAGCTCATAAATCCACTGAGAAGTCGGGGTGAGTATTGGCAAGAACCTCACGGTACATATCACGATACTTTGGTCACAATACAATAGTATCACCATCTATCACGATATCACGATATCACGATATTGCGATATAGAGATGAAAACACCTGTATATGTACATCAGATGATATTGATCAGAGGACACATTGAGTTAAAAACTATTTCATTCCAAACAGCCTCTTCATTTTATTAATTTCGATGACATTCACTGCGGTGAAATGCGGTGTTACACACTGCAGTTGAAACCATAAAATGAAGTGCATTAAAGTTATTGTCACTGAAACTACTGTAAATATCTCAAAGTAACCATTAATCTCTTAATGCGCTTTAGTTGAGCGCGGAGACTCTAATGTTTGGGTAAGATGATGACACACACAACTCGATGGGTAGCTAGCTGAGCAAGTTGGTAATCAAAATCATTCCCATCATAGGAACGACTGTGTAGCCCTTACAGGTTAGAGAGTAACAGATATAATATATTATTAGGGTTGCCACCTTCCATGCAGACTAGCTGAAAGTTGTCCAGGAGGTTGTATACGATGAACAAGCAGTTACTCTTCAGGTGCTCTGAGGCTAGCAAGTGCAAAGGTAGAAACTAGCTCACTACTCACTAAATAAGGAGTGAAACTCTAAATCAACATATTTATTTGGCATTTGATTTAAAAATAGTATAAACCAGGTGAGTTTGCAAGTTTACCTAGCATGATGGCTAATTAGCGATTTACGTGAATATAATACACATTCATGAACATGAGTGCTATTCTTTGTCCATGACAATCTGACAAACACATCAGTAATGACAAACTAGCTTCCATTTAGGATGGCCTATTTAATGTTTAATCTTCAGTGATGTTAGCTGAGCTGAACTCCACATTACTAACCAGTTAAACATCCTTTAATACCTCTGATCTGTTACTCTCTAACCAGTTAAACATCCTTTAATACCTCTGATCTGTTACTCTCTAACCAGTTAGGGCCAGACAGTCGTTCCTATGATGGGAATGATTTTGATTACCAACTTGCTCAGCTAGCTACCCATCGAGTTGAGTGTGTCATCATCAGGGGCGGACTGGGACAATATTTCAGGCCGGGAGTTTGATACCATCCCAGGCCACCACCAAGAGTGAGTTAGGTTGGGCGTCTACTGATGTAAGAGTGTATAATAATAATAAAGCAAAGGCTCCACATGCGCACACACACAGCTTGTTCTGTTTCTGTCCCCTACAAAATAAATGTTTCTGTTGTGCTGCAATAACCTGAACTCAAATCACTTTTAATGTTAACAGTGTAGTAGTAGATTAAATAAAATGTTACACCATCATCCACCTAGAAACTTGAGACCAATCCTATTTTTAATGTAACAGGTACCAGACTAGTTATACATTTGACCACTGTGTCAACCATAGTATCAGACCACAAGTGAGAGGTACACAGGCGGCGCACTGCAGATGTGTAGGTTTAGAAAAGCCCACCCATAATTTCACAGCTATTCAAATTCACTAATTGACCATTTGTATATGCATTGGCTATGTTCATATAACAACAAATATGTTCCTAATCTCAATGGGATTTTACCTGGTTAAATAAAGGTTAAATCAAATAATATAATACAAGGATTTCAATATTTAAATAATTTATTATGTTGTGTCTATGTTAGTTAACCATATTCTAAAATTTGCAATATCCTTTGTTACAACTTAAAACATTTGTTTTATTAAGTTAGTTTGTGTTAGTCAAAGTGGAACCAACCTCCTCATGAAGTGGTGCTGGATAGACAAACAGATCAGTTATTTTACAGCACTTCGCTGATCTGTGGTCAGTATTTTTGGGTGCTTGGACACAAGTAGGAAACTTTTGATAATTTAAATACTTCAGACGGGATTCGAACCGGCTACACTGGGAATGCTACGTTCAATTTACCCAAGGGTAATGAACTGTCATTGACGTCACAATTACATTCATTGTTATTTCTGCATGCATTCTCTGCTATTTTAAATGTTCTAGGCTTACTAAGATTTCAATTTAGGCTTCTGTTTATATATAAAACTAAGAATAAATACTAAATAATTTCATATGTGAAATGTGTCATATAGGCAACATTATTAATGTAAATAATGAATAATTATTTGTTATCGTTTTCTACCTCTCCCACCTACCTGAAGGTCTGGAATGCCCTCTGCAAAGGCTGATATCATGACTTGGATCTTTCCCTACATCTCCTCTATGTGGCGTATATCAGAAACCACCTCCCATACAATTTTATAGTATATTACTTGTCTTTTTCTGTTTGTGGTTTATAATGTATTGTCTTTTCAAGTATCAAATGTATCAATGAGGTGAAATTAACCTAATAAATAAATAACATACCATCTTGCTGTTACCAAATGTCACATCACCACCATTATGACATTATTATCACACTTATTGTTGTTGTCAATAAAAATACCCACTAGTTTTGTTTTTAATGGACAAAAAGGAAGCAAGGGAAAAGTTTAATTCAATTCTATTCAATTAAATTTTATTTGTATAGCGCCAATTCATAACAGAAGTTATCTCAGGACACTTTTCAAATAGAGCAGGTCTAGACCGAACTCTTTAAAACATTTAGCTAAAAATGTAATCAAAACAGATTATAAAACACTTCAGAATCAAAAAATACTGTTTATTTACAGTGAACACAGAACGCAGAATAACAATAACACAGCACACGTAATAATAATAATAATAATAATAAAACAGCACAGAATAATAATAAAACATCTTTTAAACTATTTACAATAAACCTATTTATAGTGGCATTACTTTCTCCTCATTTCCGCCAACCAGTCCTCCTTGGAAAGTGTTTCCGTATTAGCAGTGAGGAACTGGCCACACTTTTTGTTAGTGTTGGCTTGCACCGTTCGCCTGTAAGGCCTTTTAGGGCACCAGCTCCCTGTGTGTCTGCTGGTGCACCTGTTTGTGGATTAGTGCCCTGACATGCTGCCACTACAGGTATGAAAAAAACAGCCTGTCCTGCATGCGCGATTGGGGTGCTGGGGTGGACCAAGGGTGCTGGTGCTGAGGGAGTGGCAAACAGCTGTCTCTTTGCTGCCCCCCTTGGGAGTAAGGGACGCGGTGTCTGCCGCTGTTGTGCCTGACCGGCTGTGCTCTCCGGCAGCCGGTACTGGTGTTCCTGGTGTGCTGGAACGGGCTCAGTGGGGAGCACTCTTGCCTCCTGAAGAGGCTCTTCAGCCACGGCAAGGGCTGGAGGCAATGCCGTGCCTTGCACCAGTACAGAAAGCTCCTGCCTCTTTTGCCTATCATTGTGCCATTGTATCAGTGTGTTCTGATTGACTTCTACCAGCTGGAGTCCAGTTCTCTCCATCACCCGGGAGTTGCCAACCACCAACTGCCTGATCTTCCAATAGTCCCTGAGAATTAAGGACCACCGGGAATCTGCCCCCTTACCCTTCCTCACTGGGCTTGGGTACAGATAGCACAGTCTTATAAAAATGTTCTCCACTATCCGACAGCAATCTGGCCACTGGGCAGGTGCACTACTTGCACCTAGCATGCAGCAAGTGGTGCTCTCCACACCAGGAGTTTTTGAGGGCTTCTTTGGTGTTCTACAGCGACCACTCAAAAGTCTCTCTTGGTGTTGTGCAGCATAAACCACCCGCTTCTTGTCTCCTTTGTCCAGGCTCTCCCACAGGTGTACAATTGTGTCCGCCTGCTGGTTGCTGAGGTCTGACCACATAGCTCCACCAAGTACTCAACAAGCCGGTCTACATGCTGGTATCAAGGCACATTCTGGTCTTCCACAGCCTATGAAAATTATTAAACAGAAAATAGAAAATCGCAATGTAAAACCTTCACTGACACTTTAATGACACTTTTACTGATGTAGTGGATTTAACGAAATATGTGATATGCATACATACTCTAAAAATAGTGCTGAGAACTTCATTTTTTATCCATATACATATTTTAAAATGATCATACGGCTATTTACCATAGTTTCATCTTCGGCCTCAGTCAATGAACCTGAAGGCGGAGAGGAGGTGCCAGGGGCCAGAGTGGTTCTGCCAGGGGCCAGGGTGGCAGTGCCAGAAGCCAGGGAGGAGGTGCCAGGAGCCAGGGTTCTGCCAAGGGCCAGGGTGGCAGTGCCAGGAGCCAGGGTAGGTGTATCAGGAGCCTCTATGTCCAGCAGTGTGGGGTCGTCTATGAGGTCAGAGAGGCCCTCATCTTCCCCCACGTCATCCTCCACATCATGCTCTTCAATGAGCTGAGCTGTCACCTCTGAATCAGGGTGCATATCCTGCAGTGCCTGACCAGTCTGCCGGAACAGATACTGCACCCCTATGAGCTCACCTAAAACAACAGATGATAAGTTAATCAGGCAAGGCACAGATGCAGCAACAGTTTTTGTTTGGCATAGTAATACTGATGTACTGCAATCACAGGTGTATTATTGTAAAATATTTCACAATTGCTCCGAACACGGCTCTGCCAAACATAATGAAAACAGATTTATATTACCAATTTGTCCACAAATTCTTATCAGTGTAACGTGATGGTGGGCAGAACTCTGGTGCCACTTTCCTGCCGAACAGCCTCTCCTAGTTACTGTTAACGCAGGTAAGCAAGTCCCCTGAGTAATTGCGCAGAGCAGATGGTCCTGTACACAGGGCAGCACCACCCCGGTCCTGGTTCCACCTGTGTAGCCCTTCCAGCAGGTAAACTTGGAAGTTTAGGCTATTGGCACTAGTCCCTAGAAGTACATTGACTTATACATAAAATATTAAATAGGAAAATATTCTTGGACACACAACACAACACATGAATCAGCATGTCTGACAGGCACAAACCTGGTATGAATCTGTTGAGGTGTAAATGGAAAGACTCCAAGGACGTAGAGCCTCTGGCACACCGGAACATAGGTAGCCGCACACCTCCCTTGGTCAGCTCCCCTGGCAGTCCACCAACGTTCACCATCCAACCTGACAGAACTGGAGAGGATCTGCAAGGAAGAATGGCAGAGGATCCCCAAATCCAGGTGTGAAAAACCTGTTGCATCATTCCCAAGAAGACTCATGGCTGTAGTAGCTCAAAAGGGTGCTTCTACTCAATACTGAGCAAAGGGTCTGAATACTTATGACCATGTGATATTTCAGTTTTTCTTTTTTAATAAATTGGCAAAAATTTCTACATTTCTGTTTTTTTTCTGTCAAGATGGGGTGCTGAGTGTACATTAATGAGAAATAAAATGAACTTTTTTGATTTTAGCAAATGGCTGCAATGAAACAAAGTGAAAAATTTAAAGGGGTCTGAATACTTTCCGTACCCACTGTATGTGTTTGTGTATACAGCGATAACATAACATTATGATCCATGAATCTATTGGTGATTCTATTGTTGGTTTATTTGTGGTTTTAACTGATGTGATTATGTAAGAAATTAAGTTTCTAATGTATTTGTTTTATTGTTCTTACCTTGATGTGTCCTGGGAAAGCGGAAGTTTTATTTTGAAAGGACACAATATGCACATTAGACCATTCTAAGCCCCATAAAGTAAATTGAAAATCAATACATATAATCATTATATCAATAAATAAAGTGATAATAAACAAACTTTGGCTGTGATAATGAACTGGCCCTCCCCTCCCAAACAGTTTCTACCCACAAACCATCACTCTGAGTGAACACACAGGGTCAGAAACAATCTCTGTAACATCCACTGCATCTGTAAACTGTTTGTTATTTATGTTTTCACTGTTAAAATTCAGTTTCTTTTTTAAAGCATAAATATTATCATAAAATCATTCACACATACAGGATTTATATTTATACTTATTTATACTGTATATCCTGTCTTATGTAATGTAAAACCTGCACATAAATATTTATTTCAGCATCCTTTGCACTATTGTCCACTGTCTACAAATGGTATTGGTTTTGTTTGTTTATATATAACTGTACATCTTGTTGAGCTTGTTCTGTTTATTTATGTTTATTCTGTGTTTGTACATTGAGAGCAATGGAGTCAAATTCCTTGCAGGAAGTTTGTGTAAAACCAGAGAGTATTTCCTGAATATTGATCAGAGATGAGTTTCACTGATATTTTTGTACAGTTCTCTGTCTGTATTGTGTATTTTTCCAATATAGTTTTATCAAACAGACTTAATAGGCTTCTTTTTTTAACAGATCCAGTGTTTTCTTCTCTGTTCTTGCAGCTCTTTGGTTGTTTGATCGGATGTTGAAGTTCTGTGAATATAGTTTGTGTTCAGGTAAAGTTTATAACTTAAATATAAATTGAAACTTTAACATTTTTATTTAGTTTTCTTCACACAAATAAACAAAGTGCTGATATAAAGGTCACATATAAGTACTTTGTGTATTTTCTAAGTTTTATTAAACCCCTTAAAATGAAGAAGACCCCCCTGTGAGGCTTTGGGGACCTGTAGTGGGGGTCCCGCCACAGGTTGGGAACCACAGAGGGGTGGCAGCTTCCACAACTAAACAATCATGACTCCAGTTTGCTGTCTAATTGAACTCATTGATTTATAAAATAAGGTGTAAAATTGATCTGCTGTGGCCACATTTTAGACTCAGTGATCAGTTTAATTTATTGATTTCTAATTTAGATATTTCACTGCTTTAGTGTTCAAATATCTTCATTTGTGGGCTTTTCAAAGCAAATATCAATATAATAGGGGTCCCAACCTGAGGGTCGGGGCCCCCACTGGAGGTCGCCAAAGCCTCACAGGGGGTCTTCTTCATTTTAATGAGTGCAAGAAAAGTTATAAAATATACACAGTAGGTCTATATCTCAGTGTTTGGTTCATTTCTGTGAAGAAATGTGAAGTAAATAGAACAACAGTGAATTATTAAATAATACAGAATACAGAGGGTTGTATAGAAAGCTTTATAAACAGGAAATAATCTGCTTATAATTCATTTAAATCAATCATTTCACTGTTTGCGTTCATCGTACAGTTTTAATATAATATAAAATAAAGATAAAATATGTCTCAGAGTCAGTTCATTAATGAGAGAACAGGTTGACAGTGTGCAGATCGATACCGCCACCGCCTGGTGACTGACAGGACCTGCACCCAGAGTGTGACACAATAAAGGCTGAGAGCTCAGAGAGTCCGGTTGGATGATCCAGTCCTGCGTCCGCGGCACCATGAGCGATGCTGGGGGGTTATTTTAATGTCATATAGATCCATTCCCCGCACGTGAGAGCTTTTATTGGACGCTTCTCCTTCCGGTGGCGGTGGAATATCGATCAGACCCGCCCCGGTCCTCCAGCTCCGGACGCAGTCTCTCCCCCCCCCCTCCCACCCCCGAGTCCGAGGATGACGGCCAACAGCAGGTACAGGAGCCGCGCGCCCCGGTCAGGTAAGCTCCCGCAGGTAATTAATGACCCAGAGCGCGTCACAGATGGGATGCTGAGGTAATTAATCGATTAATGACGGTGCGTTCGTTCCCTCCTCCGGTACCGTCCTGCTGGGTGGATGCGGCTGTCGGTCCAACCTCACACCGGCTGATGTCTCCTGGAATTCGGCTCCATGACACAGATGATGGAGAGGTAAGATACGCAGCGGGCTAATGTGTGTGTGTGTGTGTGTGTGTGTGTTGTGTGTGTGTGTGTGTGTGTGTGTGTGTGTGTGTGTGTGGTTCCTACAAAATAAAAGCCTGCTGTGTCGCACCTGCAGGACTGTGCCTTTGTTTTGGAGGCAGTGACCCGGCTCTGTCATGTCAGACATCCCTTCTTTGTCTTCCCCCTGTCACTGTGGACTCACTGTACACATCTGTACACATCTGTACACATCTGGGACTCAAGAGCAGAGGCGATGAGTCGATATCAAACATTCAGTGAATCCAGCTGCTTAAATGTGACTGTAATTAATAAATAGGCAAAAAAAAAAAAAAAGCCTCAGTTGTTACAGGATTCATCAAGAGTAGAAAAAGAGCTTTTTAAATCAGAATTTCTACATATGAAACTATTTAAAGGTCCAGTGTGAAACATTGATGAGGATCTGTTGTCTAATGTAATATAATATTCTCCTGTTCGTAATTCTACAGAGGAAGCTGAGTATTTCACAGATTATCAGGATGTAGTGACAACGTTTCAGTGAATATGACAGAAATGTATTTTTCTGAAAGTTACCTACTGCAGCTTTAAAATATACACTTTCACAACCACATAGCCAATCCTAGCAGCTACGCTCCTTGCCATGAAAAGCACCGGGATCCGTAATAACCAGTATTCACCGGTACACTGTAATCCCAGATAAATTAACAAAAAATATATATATATTCTCGATCAATTAGCTTCAGTAATTTTAATTAATACTGACTCAATTTGTATTTGTACTCTGAAAACAAAATATCTAGTAAAACGTAATAAAAGCTGCTTCATCAAGAATCTTCTTGAACTTACAAAACAGAGTTTGTGTCACTTAAAATGTTCAGTCTAATCAGTTTAAACAGGTTTTTTAAAAGGAGTTAAAATAACTTATCACATTATAGTGTACAGAGTAAACACAGCCAGCTTAATGCTAAGAAAACATTCAATCTCTGGACATCGATGGAGAATCAGGGACACCGAACATCGCAGTGTGTGTTTCATGCAGCGTCTCCCTCGCCGCCCTCGCTGCTTTTATTTTCAGATATACATCCCCAAAAATCCCACGAGCAGCTTTCATAACCTTCATCCTGCTTCTCGCTTCTTTTTCATGTCGTCAGTGAGTCAGAGTGAGTGGACGCCTGGACGCGGCGTGCTGGTGTTACCCAGCAGTCTGTGTGTTTCTGTGGTGTGTGTGTGTGTGTGAGTGGGAGTGACATGCATCCACAGACAACATGTCAATATGGAAGCAATACCCAAAACACCCCCGCATCCCCATACGCACAGATCCCTACTCACTCCCTCAGCAGTGGAGCTAATGCACTCTACATTAGGTTTGGTATTAAAAGCTTTCTGTATGCTCAAATGGAAACGTTTTAAATGCATGATGGGAGTTCACATCACACACCATCTGTCTCCGTAAAGCCTCCGTGTTATTCCACTGCTGTTTCAAATGCTCCTCTTTACTCGTTTTGGAGCTGTATGCCGTTGCGTTGTCGCTCCCCGCCCCCTCTTGGCACTGCCTGCCATTCTGTATTATGAATACTTGGGAGAACCTCAGGGCACGCTCTCAGTCTCTCTCCGCTTCTTCAATAAAACATGAAAAGGACTCTTGGATGTCCTACTAACACAGCTACTGTAGCACGCTGCAGCACCAAGCTGAGCAGGAAGATCTGACCCAGATCAGGCCCCCGGGTCGGCCATTACGACTCACACTGTCCTACATACAGTTATAATATATAATATATAAAATATGTCTGTCTATTAGTATCTGAAGTTACTACAAAACCTGAAAAACAAAAACACAGAATAATAATACTCGGACAGAAACAAACACAGAGATTCCTATAAGATATGAACCGCAAATAATACTGAAATTAAAGTATTTGCCAGGCTGAGTGCAGTTTCTGAGCTCCTATGGTAATTGGGTGGTTTTGGGGTAAATTAATGCAGCATATTTCTTTTTCAGTTTACTTTAACGTCTTTTTTCTCCACTTCTATAGTTTCTGCTGAGTCACTACAACTAATTTAATATTTTATTTTTATGTGTCTGATTGTTTCCAGGAGAAAGATTATGTCGGTTTTGCGACGCTGCCCAACCAGGTGCACAGGAAGTCGGTGAAAAAAGGATTTGACTTCACCCTCATGGTGGCAGGTGAGATGGATATTTTACTCTAAATGGGACCATCAGTTACTAAATGAACATCATGCTGTATGGAAGAAGACTGAAACTAGAGACTGAGACCAGAAACTCATCAGGAAACTGTTTACTGAGCTCATAAATCAACTGAGAAGTCGACTCATTTCTCCATAAGACTGAATGGTAATGGAGCCGCCCCCTGCTGGCCGTTACATAGACTGCAGGTTTAAAACACTTCACAGACCCAGAAACTGTCCTTTATATATTCTGTCAATGGATTGAGCTTATAAACACACATTTTAATTCATTAATTACACTTTTTGCTATTGAATTTTATGTTAATAGAGCTCCATGTGCACCACTTCTGCACGTGGATCAAATCCAAAGTTCTCTTCACACTAAAATCCTCCAACTCGTGCAGGATGTCCTCGTCGGGAGGCAGATTTACCACCACACCTCCGCACCATCTCACTCAGTCTTCACAAGTTTAATGTGTCCTGTGAAAGTGTCTGTTAAATGTTAATGTTCAGGAACAAGATAATAGCTCTCCATTTAATTACAGTTTAAATCCATCAGAAGCATTTTGAACATCCTGAGGGACCAAACGTGAAGAGCTCGATCCCCGCAGTCTGAAGGATGCACCAGTGTTGTCCTGTTAAACAATTCTGAGTCCATTAATTCCCCATTATGAAGACGGCAGGATGGATAATGTTATTTAAATGAGGAAAATCTCAGTCGGAGGTTTATGTTCATTTTGTTCAATTCTGGAAAGCAAAAGAACATCAGAGTGATGTTTGAGTCAAATGATGTTGATGTTTCAGTCTCAGTCGGGCTTCTAACGGTCTCGGATGCGTCTGGGTGAACAACACGGTAGATATAAGGTGTTCATGTTGGACAGTCTAACTTAACTTGTGTAGAAAGTTTGATGAGGTGGTGAAGCAGCGTGGGATCATGGGAGTTGTTGTCTTCACCACCATTGCAGTCAGCTTCTCCCGGTTAGGATTCCTTCAGTGTTCATGGTTCAGGAGGTTTCTACCGGGAGCCCAATGATCCACAGAGGTCTCCTCCTCTCCAACACAAACAGACCCGCTGTTTAAAACCACTAAACACACTGCATAAAGCAGTTCCACCTTAAACACACTGAATAAAGCAGTTCCACCTTAACAATCACTGCTTCTCCCACGCTGTTGGACAGACAAAGGACGTCCCGGAGGGGCTGCGAGCCGAGCTGCTGCTAACGTTAGCTCAGCTTGTTTCTCTGATAACTTAAGATCCAGACGTCCGATGACTAAAATCCTTCATCCGGTTCAAATCTAGAGTTAAAAAGCACCAAGATCTAAACAGTGGATGGTAGAAATGTGGCTTCAGACTGGATAAACAATGTATGTCAATGTATGACAGCTTCTGGTATTTTTTGGGCACTGTGAGCGCCTCAAGCCGACTGCCATCTGGTTCCTTTATATTGGAGAATTGATAAATATCACTACAGGTGAGAGGAAACATGTATTTTAGAATTTAAAGATCTAAATATCTCCACCACCATTCCCAATGAGGAGCAACCTGCTTTAATGAGTGTTTCTGTGTCACAGGTGAGTCCGGTCTGGGTAAATCCACTCTGGTGAACAGTCTGTTCCTCACTGATCTGCACAAAGACAGAAAACTGCTCAACGCGGAGGGTGAGTCTCCGATATCGCAGTTCTCACTGTAATCCGATATTTTAACTCAAACACTGTTGAAACTGATTTATTCTACCAATTATTATTAAGTGTTAATTAAAAATACCCTTTATTGTAGAGGAAACTGATTCCTTGAACTCAATGTAGTAACATTTGTTGACTCATAACCTGATATATACATATATGTCAATGGTCATAACTCAACAAATTGATGCAAATTGTTTAATTTAATCATAATAAAACATTACTTTTTTTGAGTGTAGTCTGGTTTGCTGTAAACACCCTGTGTGTAACACCTGTGTGATGTTTCTGACCTGAAGAGCGAATCAGTCAGACGGTGGAGATCATGAAGCACACGGTGGACATTGAGGAGAAGGGCGTGAAGCTGAAGCTGACCATCGTGGACACGCCGGGGTTCGGAGACGCCGTCAACAACACTGAGTGGTGAGTGTTTGACACACACACACACACACACACACACACACACACACACACACACACACACACAGCTCACCTGACCCTCCCTTTCAGCTCTGTGTCTCTGTGTTTTCACCCACGTATAAAATAAAAGCTGCAGCTCTTCTGTTCAACATGAAAATGAAAGAAAACTGCTGCTTTGCTTCTGTAAAAACATAGTTTCATGTTTTATAAAGACTTCTCCTCTTCTCACCTGTAACATCCTCCAGGATATTTGTTCATATTAATCAATTTCCAGGTGTTTCCAGGACTGGAAAACTGCTCCCTAAATGTCCAGGTTTTCCAGGTTTTCCTCATTTGATCTGCTTTGTCTGCTTGGTCTGTAGTTTCCGTTAGTCCGGAGTATTGATTTGATTTTTAACTGAGGAAAAGGTTTTATATTTTTATTTTTTTTGCTGTATAGCAAAATCTGTCACAGCCCTTTGATTGACGTATTTAAACTGTTATTATTATAAATGATAAATAATGATTCTACAGCTTAATAAGAAGAAACAAGCACCTGAAGGTCAGAAGATGCTGATGTGGTTTTTGCTCTTTGTTTGGATTCAGTATCAGTTTCACTTTGAGGGTGCTGTTTTTTAATTAACTGGGTGGATTTAATGTGCAGACCTGCGTTGTTTTAATGACCAGAAGAGGAGTAAATATCGCTCAGTTTGTGTCCCGCTGTGTGAAAACTGCACACTTCATCAGTGACACCTTCATCACCTGCTGTTCATCTGACGCAGGATGATAAAGCTCCTCAAACTGAACATCAGCAGCAATAATGCTTGAGCTGAATATTCATCATTAAATAACTTGTAGCTAATTTCAACTGTTAATCTGTTAATTGTTACTTTTACTATTTTAACGGTCTCTGCATTAAAGCGAGTATAAACAAACTTCCCAAATTACTGAACTATTCCTTTAAGAGTTTGGTGGGTTTATAGTAAAATCACATAAATATGTGACGGACCTGTTTGTGCTTTGCAGCTGGAGGGCCGTCACCGACTACATCGACCAGCAGTTTGAACACTACTTCAGAGACGAGAGCGGACTCAACAGGAAGAACATCCAGGACAACCGGGTGCACTGCTGCCTCTACTTCATACCGCCGTTTGGACACGGGTAACGCACGCAGTACCGTCTTCAAACACATGAGCTTTGTACGTATTAAAGTGCTCAGTGAGGTTTGTGTGCTCCTGCAGGCTTCGTCCCGTTGATATAGAGTTCATGAAGGCCCTGCAGGATAAAGTTAACGTTGTTCCTCTCATCGCGAAGGCCGACTGCCTCACTCCCAGTGAGATAAAGAAACTCAAAGAGCGGGTGAGACCACGAAGCAGCTACACAACATATTGATTACATAAGTTATCCACGAGCACCAGATTGAATCAGTATGAGACAGGATGTAAAGTTTTTCTCAGTCTTACCAACCTTTCTGTCTGCACAGCGTTTTTAGTGTCTTAATTAATATTTCTGCACTAAATTAAACCCACAAAGACTCTATAAATACAATAGATGTATGACTTACTGAAACTGGAAAGAATAAAGTATATTTATTATTTATTTGCTCAACTATTTAGACTCTACTTTCAGCTAAATATGTGATACATTTCCTATCACTTTAAGCTAATTATTTGAACTGTTAATCAATACTTTATGGTTGGAATTTTATTATTTCTTTGCTTTTTTAAAAATAATTTTATGGACTTTCTTAAAGAAATAGTTTATAACGTTATGGGAAAATGCTTGGTTGCTTTCTTTCAGACAGATGATATTCATCTCATGCTAAGCTAGGCTAACCACATCCCGACTCCAGCTTTAACACACAATCGTAATATTCATGTCCGTCTTCTCCAGAAATATGCTGCGAACCTCAGCATTAGATTTGTGTTGAGCTCATTTTAGGAAGATTCAGACCTTCCTCAGAGAGTTGCAGAGCTTTCTACGGGGCAGCAGTCAGCGGGAGGTTGTTTCCACTGTTGTCTGTCTCTTATGTGTTGTGTTGTCCTTCCAGCTGAGGGAAGAGATAGATAAGTATGGGATAAAGATCTACCAGTTCCCTGACTGCGACTCTGACGAGGACGAGGAGTTCAAGCGGCAGGATAAAGAGCTGAAGGTGAGCTTGATTGTGATCTGATGAGACTAAATCACACAGTCCATTATTCCTTATTTTAAAAGAAAGTAACTAAGTACATTTACTAAAGGACAGTTTGGAGGTTATATAGACAGAATTCACTGCCACTAGATGTCGCACTGGAGCACCAGCACATGACCAGACTCCATTGAGAAAACTAGTCATTTTACCAAGCTGATAACTGTAAAACAAACTGTATAATAAAACTCACTAAAACCATCTTTGTTCCAACAGCCACCACAGGTCACAGGTCGAACTCAACCCTTAATTCTCATAGTGGCAAAAATATTGGTAAAAGTCAGGCCAGGTTGTTATTGTCAGTGTCTGACAGCATTATGGAAAGGATCCCTACAGAGATAGACCTTTAGTTTAACCACAAACAGCCGTAATATCACTATCACTCTCCACCAGACTCCAGAGACAAAAACACTCATTTTACCTTCAGATCATCAGAACTTCATTCAAAGTGGACAGAAACAGAATAAAACCCATTAAAAGCGTCTCTGTTAGTGTTTCCAGCAATCACCAACTCTGGTTTGGTGGAAATAAATCCTTAATTCACCGACGTAGATGATAAAACTGCAGTAAGAACTCATCATTAAGAATAACTACAGAGAAGCAGCCAATCTACTCTCTGATGATTTTGTTTATGTAGGTCATGTAGAGGCATCTGGATTAAACTGAACCTCCTTGTTGTAGGTTTAAAGTGAAACAGGAACTTTAATATTTTGGTTTTACTACTTTAAAGTGTCTGAATACCTCTGATACAGGAGAGCACCCCGTTCGCAGTGATCGGCAGCAACACCGTGGTTGAAGCCCGGGGTCAGAGAGTGAGAGGGAGGCTCTACCCGTGGGGCATTGTGGAGGGTAAGAAACTCTCTTCCCATTACCACGACGACAGTAATTACCCTGCGAGCGAACCAGCCCTGATGTTAATCTGTTTCCTGCGTGCAGTGGAGAACCCGGCCCACTGCGACTTCGTGAAGCTGAGGACCATCCTGATAAGAACCCACATGCACGACCTGAAGGACATCACCAGCGACTGCCACTACGAGAACTACAGAGCTCAGTGCATCCAGACCATGACCAGGTGAAAGCAGGGAGGAGTTAAAGGGTCCAGTTGTGAAACATTTATGAATGTAATATCTATAGGTGTGATTTTATTAGTGTTTAATCACCTGAATATAAGAATAATTGTGTGTTTGTTACCTTAGAATGAGATGTTTTTATCTACAGAGGGAGCGGGTCCTCTTCTATGTAGGCCGCCGTGTTTCTTTTTCGCAAGTTTGGTAACCCCAGTAGTTTCTCCCGAAGCTTGGATGCGAGCTGTATTCAGTTGGTTGCAATCTGCAACTTCACCGCTAGATGATGCTAAATCCTGCACACTTTTCTTAATTTTTTGGTTAGTTTTAGGTGAGGAGACATTTAATATAAGAACAGAAGTAATGACGTGCAACAGCTGCTTCTATTTAGTCATTTTTTGCTCTTTTTCCTATTTTTTTCCGTCTTATTTTGTTGTTGTACGAACGACAAATCATCCTAAATATTTCACACTGGACCTTTAACAGGGGATGATATATTGAGCATAGCGTTAGTTCAGGCAGGGCACGAAGTCAGGCTTAGCTTTCAGTTACAGCTATATCATACGATCACAGCTAGTCATAAACATACATCAGCTGATTCCTCTAAGCTTCCCATTGGATACCATACACAGTCAGCTGACAGCTCACCTGATTTCCCAAGCATCCAATTGGCAAACATCATGCATGGCGCCTTATTTAAGCTGCTTTAGCCTGCCTGCCTATCTCTGCTGCTCCCTCTACAAGCCTTTTGCACCCACCTCCACCCCAGCTCCTCCTTTTTATGTTGTTTCTAATTAATCAATGTCATTTTCTGATTGCCATTGATGCTGCTCTGTTCTGTACCTGGGGTCTCTGCTGCCGCTCTCCTTGTCTTAAACTTTTCCATGTATGCACATGGAAGGGCAGGGAGGTGTGCTCTCCCTGCCTTAAGGTTTTCCACGTAGGCACGCGGAAGGACAAGGAGGTCCCAGAACAGAGCCATACCGCCAAATGTAATTCTGCTTGGAATATAAGATATTTTGACGAAAGTGGTCCTGACTGAAATGATATTGTGTTTTCAATTTGTTTCTGCTGCCTCCAGGTAGCTAAACTTCAGTATTTGCAGGTTTAAAGCGTCTATGTGTGGCATTTAAACATTTCATGAACACAGAGTTTGTATTTTTTGTATTTTTAATCTGTAATTTGATGAACAATCAGAGAAAGACAGTTGATTGTTGAGTCGGATTCCCAGGGCTTCAGATACAGATGTTCTGGGAACGAGACTCAATAATCAACTCTCTCTCTCGGCTCTTCATTCGGGCCCGGTGGCTTCTCGTAAACGCCCTTAGGAGCACCGGGAGGCGCCAGAGGATTTATCAAAAGATTATCTGTCTCATGTTCTACTGTAATGCACCGACAGTCTCTGCTCACAGTTTTAACTCTGTGCGAGCTGATTTCTCCACTGCAGTGAAACAAATGAAACCCCAGCAGCTTCCTGTTTGTCTCTCAGTAAGATGAATGCAGATAAGCGGGTAGAGAGCCCGATCCCGCTGCTGCCGCTGTCCACGCCGGACGAGGAGACGGAGAAACTCATCAAAAGGAAAGACGAAGAAGTGAGTAGGGAAAAGACTCCTGGATGAATACTGAATAATGTATTGCGACGGGTGGTTATATAACCACGTCTCTGATGTGAGATGATGACCCATATGTGTTATTATGTAACTCTCTCTGTCTCGTCTTTATCTCCTCTGCAGCTGAGGAGGATGCAGCAGATGCTTCAGAAGATGCAGCAGCAGATGCACGAGCAGGACCTGTGACCCCCCGACCCCCCCGCCGACCTCCTATCAGCGGCCATTTAACCCAGAGATGAACACACAGTAGAGACTTTCCATAAAACGTTGTCTCTTTAAGGGACGAGGTGAAGAAATGTTTGACCGGTAGATGAGCGACAGCATGCTGCGTATTTCAACCTGATTTAAATGTTTCATAAATTTAGCTTTTTTTTAAAAAATGCAGTCATTAGCCAAGTGAGTGTAGTTAGGCAATAGAGAGTAGATTGCACTTTGTTACCTTTAGAGCAGTGGTTCCCAACCTTCATCCATCACTGAGTAAACTGATTATATTCAATAAACACAGAACAGCTGATAAACTGAACAATGAACCCAAACAGTGACTCAATAACTGCAGGAAGTTTGGGTAAAACCAGAGATTTGGGTTCATTTTTAGCATTTTTTTGAAATTAATATTTCCATTCAATATTCATCAGAGAAGTTTTTCTGATATTTTTAACATTTTATACAAATCTGTCTGTATTTTGTTTTTATCTTATTTTTAATAATCATACAGACTTAATAAGGCTTCTTTTTTCATCAATTCAGTGTTTTCTTCCTGATAATTGTTCTAATACAGCTTATGTTCAGAGCAACAAAGTTTAGATATTAAGTAAAAGTTATTTTAACTCTTTGTTTGTTGTACAGTTTTAAGTTACACAAACTCAATTTTGCAAGTTGAAAAACATTCTTGCTTAAGTAGTACTTTTTTTCACAGTTCAAATACACATTTCGAAATTAAGTAATTTAGTGTAACTTAAAATTATTAAAGGTACTTGATAAAGAATATTTTATTTTTTTAACTTGCAAAATTGAGTTTGTGTAACTTAAAATTGTCTACGTAAACAGTTTTGTGAGTTAAATGAACTTATCTGGTTTTACAGTGTAATATAAACTGTAAAACAGTTTAATTTAGTTTTCTTCACACAAATGAATGAAATGTAGAGATATATGAAGCCTGTGTATATTCTTTAAGTTTTTTAGCACACCTTAAAATCAAGAAGGCCTTGCGACCCCCCGTGTAAAGCTTTGACGTGCCCTAGCGAGGGTCCCGACCCTCAGGTTGAGAACCACTGCTTTAGATCACAGTAGATTTACGAGTTTGTTTTTCTACTTGAAACACTAAATGAGACAAATGCACCGACCACAGTTCATTTAGTACTTTATGCACTGACTGTGTGAGTGGAGGGAAAGTCGCTGATGGTTTGAGACCTTTTAATTCTGAGTGGTTTTATAACTTTATTCATTACAAAGTGCTTCACAAAACACATAAAAACCGACGAGTAAGGTGCCATAAAATGCTTATTAAAAGGAGAATTTAAAAGATGAAATTAAAAGAATAAATAAAGTAAAAGCACAGATTATAATAAGGGTACAGATCACACATTTAAAGGTGTGTAGGACTCAGTGGCATCCATCTATATTTCCTTTCTGATAATAGATCCTCCTCAGTGTTACACAGTGATTTTATTTAACATAAGAAGTAGTAAATGTCAATACTACAGCAGCAATTATTAATTAATAATAAACCCAAAGGCAGCCACTCAGAACGGGCTCATCTACATATATCTGTATTTCTGTCTATTGCGTGTCGGGTATAAATAAATAAAATTGACTCGACTGGACAAACCATCAGAACTCCTTTAAAGTCCAGGTGAAACAGGAATCATTACTGATAGCAACAGTCAGCTTCTTTTAGCTACGAGTCCACCTGGAAACTCCCATAAATCACCTCGGTACCGCTGTCGTCAAACTGTCTGTCTCTGAGGTTGTGTTCACTGGGAGGCTGCTGAGCCCCGTTCAGACACAATGATTGGATTCTGATATAAAAACACAAAGAAACTGAGTTTTTGATTGGTTGTTTTTAGCACAATTTGTTAAATATGGGAACAATATAACCGAGGATGTGATCTTAAAGGATAAAAAGTTTCCTTTCACCTGGACTTTAACCCTCAGAGCTTCAGTGTGAGTGTGTGCCATCAGTAAAGCCATGTTAACTCTCTTCAGACAATCTCATCCTTATGTAAAACCTTTAAACATGAATTAAGCGTTGCAGTGTACAATCATAACTGTGAACATCAAAGAGGGTAAAATCATGTAAAAGCAATCCTCCGTACACTGATTCAGTCTTCAGAGCACGTGTGTTTGAGTTTGTGTGTATAATATTTAGCAATCAGTATTTCTCACTATGCCAGTATTTTACACACACCTACGGAGAAACTGTCACAGTTTGAGTAAAATCCCAATAATTTATTATCGTTATAACAATAATAATAACTTTTGTTTGTGTGGCACTTTTACAGAGTGCTTTACAGTAAAACCAGGACACGTAACGGGGTTAAAATGTGAAATAAAGTTTTTGTTTCCACCTAAAAGTGTCTGTTGTCTTTTCTGTAAGTAAGACTTTTATCTAAAGTTGTGGATAATATAAATATACAAAGTCAAACACTGTGACAAATACATAAATATTCATTGAAAATGTTAACACAAAAGAATTAGAAAAATAACTTCCAGGAAGATGGTAATAAGAATCACAGATGAATAACACATTAAAATACATAAAATACAACATGTCCCAGCAGACACCCACACATCTAACATTGGACTATATGATTCTTTAATGTCACGATTACACCAACCAAAATTACTGCGATTCACTATATTATCGCTATGCTATGTTGTAGCTAAACTAGAGGCTGTGTTGTAGCCATTGACTGTATATATAATGAACACAGCGTCCAGCTCTGAACAGTGAAGCCAACAGAAGTTTCTTAAACCTGCATTCTTTGTAACGGCCAGCAGGGGGCGGCTCCATTACCATTCAGTCTTATGGAGAAATGAGTCGACTTCTCAGTTGATTTATTCCCTCAGTAAACAGTTTCCTGATGAGTTTCTGGTCTCAGTCTCTAGTTTCAGTCTTCTTCCATACAGCATGATGTTCATTTAGTAACTGATGGTCCCATTTAGAGTAAAACAGACCATAAAGCAGGGTATGCTTTAGGGCGGGGCTACCTTGTGATTGACAGCTCATTCTCAGTGAGTCCGTCCAGCTCAACGCACCAAACTCAGATCAAACTGTCAAACAGTGCTGATCAGATATGGATCCAGATTCTGTTGTTGACTATTTCTCTCCTCAAATCTGTTCACAAACATATTTTACTGTTTATCTGGAACACCAGATCCTGTTTGAGCAGGCGAGACACCAATGAGAGCAGCTAAACTTGCTTTACGTGACCTAGGCTGGCTGGTGACGATAGGTTCACACTTGGCTGTTGCTGTGTTGTAGATATATTTTATAATAATAATATAATGTGAACTTAAAGAAAATGAATCAATGGAACAAACTGGAATTAAATCACCAATAATTCAAATATTGCACATATTTAAGTTATTGCTTTGTTTTTGTGTTGGGTTTAATTAATGTGAGGATTAAGTTTTATTAACTCTTTTAATTAAGATGTTTTTAAACCCACAAAATGCAGATTTCATAAAGTTGTATAATAATGTTTAAATATTAACAGCAGCATTAATGTGTTTCATTATAGTAACGTCATATAATTCAGTTTATGGCTCAAAAAAGCTAAAATTTTATTTTAATGGGGACTTTATATCACATTTTACAGGAAGAAAATATCAGATTTGATATAAAAAAATGCAAATAAATATAAATATATTGTTAAATAGGGCAAAAATATAATGATACAACCTTAAAGGGTTAAAATTAGATGTTTTATTCCACCTGGGCTTTAAGAGGGGGGGTGGCCAATTGTTTTTCTGGGGCTGTTAGAACTCTGCGGCGGGCCCTGCTGGTTGTAAAGACCTCCGTGAGGAAAAGGGGGCAGGACGACCAGGACCAGCCCGCCTCCAGGCTCCCAGCGGCGGACACTAACAGATGTTCTGCTGCTGTTTGTCGTGAGTTTTTCTCTGAGTAAGGCGGCTGAAAAGGGTCATTGCGGAGCAGGGAGCGTCCTGTCGGTGTTGACAGGCTGTCGGAGCTCCGGGAGGAGGCGGGGATGGAGCGCAGGGAAGCGGACCAGAATGAGAGCAGCTCGACCCAACAGAACACGATGTGGAAACAGTTCCAAGCCCGAGCCAAGCCGCTGCTCAGCCCCAAACTGGGCTCCAGGGAGCCGGAGGAGAGGAAGGAGCGCGGCGGCTGGATGTTCAAGAAGATGAAGAGGAAGGAAAACGTCGTCCTGGACCGGGTGATCTCCTCCTCTCAGCCCGACCTGCTCTTCTCCTCCCCGGCGGAGGAGGCTCAGCTCTGCGGCAAAGCGGCGGCGAGCGTCGGCCGGGAGAAGCTGCCGCCGCCGCCGCCGTCGCCGTCCTCCTCCTCCAAACACCCGCAGTCGGCCAGCCCCGTGAAACCCACGTTGGCTCAGCTGGTGCAGTCCCACCACAAGAGCTCCTCTCTCGGGTCGGCGTGCTTGGAGAGGCTGGCCGAGGTACCGTGCGGCAGCGGCAGCGGCGGCGGCAGCGGCGGCAGCAGCAGCGGCGGCGGTGGAGGCGAAGCGGCAACAGCTGCCGCAGCAGCGGCTGCACCGCTGGAGCAACAACCGGTGAGCTCCTTCTGTTCAATGTGGCGGTTTTGGCCTTTTAATATAATAATGATGAGTTATTGATTATTGGATCACAGGTTAATGGATGTTTGGACACTTTTTTTTAAAGCAAGTTTGGTTGCAGTGTGTTATAGTCAGGGGTCGGGGAGTAATGGATTACATTTAACTGAGTTACATAATCTGGTGACTGTAGTCTGCACTGTAAAACCTAATGAGTTAGTTCAACTCAAACTGATCTGAAACAGTTTAAATTAATATACTCCAACAATTTAAGCATGAAAAAAATTTGATTTGAGTAACTAATTTATCATTAAAGGTAAATTAAGGAATAATTAATTGTACTTATTACTCTCTTATGCAGCATTTCTCGAAACTTATTTAACAGAATTTATCAGAATAAAGTCACTTAAATGCATCTTCGTTATACAAATGTTGAATTATTACATTACCTGTAAAAACAGCTGACAAAATTTTGGGGCTTTGGGATTTTATAATGATTTAAAGTCGACTTAAAGAAAATGAGTCAGTGGAACAAACTCAAAATGTTTTGTAGTATTAAGTTAATTTACTTCTTTTATTAAGATCGGTTACATTTAGTAAAAATTGGGATTATTTACCAGGATTAGAATTTTAAATTAAAGCTCCAAGCTGAGACAAACGGGCCTCGTGTGTCAGTGGTTTCCAGTAGGTGGCGCTATGAGTATGACTGAATGTTGGCAGGTAGATGTGTTCAGGTCTGGATTCTTGGTGCAGATCGGACAAATAACACTGAAGTTCTGACAACTTTGACCAAATCTGATGTTGATCAATGTAGGAAGAGTTTGTTAAAGTACGTGTGTGACTAAATTCAAAATGTAAGACTTCTTAAAAAATAAGCATTTTGTTTATTTCTCAAATAATTATGATTATTTAATTATTACTAATTACATTATTAGAGTAAACTCAACCTTTATAGCTTTAAATAAACTAAATAAGTTAAACCTTTAGCTCAGAAGATAAAAGTGAGAAATCCCGCCTGTAATTACTAAAATAACAAAGTTGTCATGATTTAAAAAAACAAAGTCTGAAACTGGACTCAAGTTCAATATAATCACTTGTTTTATTGGACTTCAGGTTGTTGGGTGTAAAGGTAACTGGAGACTGAAGAATGCACATAAACTACATAAGAGCAGCTCAGGTTTCAGCCAGATGCAGCGCAGACAGGTGGCCTGGAAAACCTGGAAAACCTGGAAAAACTATTTTCCAGTCGTAGAAAAAGAGAGAAAAATGATTTTGACATTCTCCTGATTTCTATCGATCAGAACTCGTCAAAAATTGATATAATCATTAAGAATAAAAAGTGATTCAGGTTCCAAATAATAATTATTCTTATTTGAACTAAAAACGGATTACATTGGAAATCGGCAGCGAACATTACTGAGCTAGCCATGCTGTTAGTTAGCTAGCTAACTAATGAATCTTCACTCTGATTGATTGACGGGTGAGTATCAGGATATTATTGATTGAAATCAGTTAGTTCATGCTGACGTAAGCACGCGTCACATTTAGTTTTACAGGAAGACACAATGATTGAATTCTGATATAAAAATACAAATAAATTGAGTTTTTGTGAATATTTTTAACATAAATTGTTAAATATGGGATCAATATAACTGAGGATGTGATCTTAAAGGGATTCAAGTAATTTTTCATTCCACCTGGATTTTAAAAAAAGCACAAAAGTACAATCGACTCGACTGGTTCACTCAGCTCTAACCGATATTGGACCTGGTTTTTCCAGCCGTAGTGAGATGACGACACATTATAAAAGTATTCTCAGACATTTTTACAGGAACGTCAATATCACAATATTGATGAACCAACAGCCTGAAACACTGTTTAACAGCTGAGTGAGTGAATGCAAACACACACACACACACACACACACACACACACACACACACACACACTCTTAAATAAAGACAGATAGCTCCCATCGAGCCTTGCAGCTATTTGTCTTGCATAGAAAAACAGGTTTACTATTCGACTTCAAGCCCATGAGTCAGCCTCTCTCAGTTAGTGACACATCCTCAATAGCCATTACAGCCCCCCCCCCTCATCAATATGGCCCCGATAACAAATCACAGTGAGTCCAATAACCTCCGTCTGATCTGTGGAATAATGACCTGTAGCTCTGATTCCCTGTTCGGGTTTCACGTGGTTCACACAGAGCGAGTAAAAGCCTGAAATATAACCCGTACAGACTCAGTCACAGTATCTGTATCGTACAGGAAGGCCCTGCAGGATGGATCTGCTGCACCACGCTGACCCTCTTTATCTCATCGGACGCCTGTCAGACTCAGTTTCTGTAATTTCCCGACGTACTGGCCGCTCCCTCGGTCTCAGAGTACGAGCTCCCTCCACAGTAAATCACAGTGGGCCTCCGCTACCTCCTCCTCTCTCATTCATACTTCTACATAATGAATACTGCAAACTCATTTTCTTCTTCCTACTGAGATTCAGCAGAAACAGACACTGTGACATCTGAGTGAGCAGGTTTCCCCCAGGAAAACACTGCCTACTCATCCATTATTTATACTGCATTTATACTATATTTATACTGTATTAATACTGTATTTATACTGCATTTATACTATATTTATACTGTATTAATACTGTATTTATACTGTATTTATACTATATTTATACTGTATTAATACTGTATTTATACTGCATTTATACTATATTTATACTGTATTTATACTGTATTTATACATTTGTATGCTGTATTTATACTGTGTATATACTATATTTATACTGTATAAAAAACAGAACATAAACTGTATTTATTTATACAGTAAATTATCAAAATACAGTATGTGAATGTATTTATATGCTGTATTTATGCTGTATATATACAGTATAAATATATTTTTTTTATTACCGTATTTATGCTGTATTTATAGATTATATACAGATTTATACAGTATTTATAGATTATATACAGTTTTATACAGTATTTATAGATTATATGCAGTTTTATACAGTATTTATAGATTATATACAGATTTATACAGTATTTATAGATTATATACAGTATTTATACTTATACTGTTTAAATACAGAACATAAACTGTATTTATTTATGCAGTATATTCTCAAAATACAGTATGTAAATGTATTTATATACAGTATTTATATATACAGTTGTTTTTATACTGAATTTATAGTTTATATACTATATTTATACTGTATTTATACTGTATTTATACATTTGTATACTGTATTTATGCTGTGTATATACTATATTTATACTGTATTTATGCTGTATATGAATTTGATATTCAGGCCACAGGATGAGTCAGAGCTCTTGTTTGTTAATCTCTGCAGACATCTCGACTTGTCGCTCTGATTAATAACCAGGAAGTGAACGAGAGATTGGATCACGTGTTGAGCCGAATCAGACGTGTCCTCTCATCTCGTGTCCGATTTAATTAATCTAATTATATTTCCTAACAGTTTCCTCTGACATTAGCGGAGCCGCTCTTTCACAGGACAGAGAGAGTCTGAGATTCAGGTACTGCTGTAATCAGAGGACGTTGTGTTACAGAGATATTTCTGTATGTATTATATATTATAGAGATATTTCTGTATGTATTATATATTATAGAGATATTTCTGTATGTATTATATATTATAGAGATATTTCTGTATGTATTATATATTATAGAGATATTTCTGTATAAGAGTTCAGTCTTTAGATGTTTTAACGTCACTTTTACTCGTATACTCTCTCGATGCCGTGGAGTGTTTGTGTTGTTTTAAAGTCACTGTTTTTGGTATTTGCTGCAGCTCCATCTAGAGTCAGTGTTTGGTTTGTACTGTAGAAACATGGTGGTTCAACATGGCCGCCTCTGTAGAAGAGGACCCGCTCCCTCTGTAGATAAAAACGTCTCATTTTAAGGAAACAAAAAACAATTATTCCTACATTCAGGTGATTAAACACTTATAAAAACTATATAAATATTATATTTCTGACAGTAGATTCTCCTCAGTGTTTCACTCTGGACCTTTAAATCTGTCGGTGACCTTAGAAAACGTCTCTCCTGTCCTCTCATGCAGCCTGTCAGTCAGGATTACTCCACTAGAGAGGGATTATACTTCCTCCTCCTCCTCCTCCTCCTCACCTGTTGCTCCTTCCTTCATTCAGCTCTACCTCCTGCTGCTCTCACACTCGCTGTTTTCTTCGGTTACTCGTTTTGATCTCGAGGACACGGTTTTGTTTTTTCTTGCCAACCTGGAGGCCTCCTCAGTCTCTCTCCCTCCACCATGTCTGCCACATAGTCGCTCTATGTTAAACCCTCTCCCCTCCTTCCTCCACCCACCTCGCCTCGTCTGCATCATCCCCCGGCGTCCTCCTCGAACCCTGGATCTGTTTCTGAGAGACTCCCCGGTGGCAGAGTCCCGTCTAGCGATTCGAGGGTTACTTCACTGCGCCTCTTGCGATGACTCCTTTGCCACCACATGTGGACGCCTGCTGTCGGTGAGCGCCATCGGCCTGTATGTGATGTGTGAAGTGCACTGTAAAAATAAGCTTTGGCGCCAAAAAAATACAATAAAATAACTGACTTGTAAAACTACAGTAATATAGCTTTAATTTGACATAAAATCTTTATCATTCGTAATTATTCTTTTTAATGTTTAATTAAAGATATTTACACTGTAAAACCAATGCAATGAGCGATAAATACAGGTGAACTCTGCATTTAATCTGAATTTTAAAAGTTATAGAACTGTAATAAAAGTCATTATCTGTGAAATTACAGTAATTATTGCTGTTTTCACTGATTAAAAACTGTATTTTGACAGTTTACCAATGCTTATACACTGATAAACAACATTTGTTCAACATTATTGTTGTGAAAACGTCCATAATTATACAAGATATCTGTCAATTAACAATCAAATCCATGTTACTGTTAATAGTCACTAATTTTACATAATTTTATAAATGGATTAAC